AACAGCAGCGTCCCCGTCTATCTTTAGGAAAACTCTTAAAGACCCACCTCTTTAAAAAGCATCTCCTATCCTAGCTCTCACCCATACCTCTGTACCCCCTCTACCACTCTGTTTGCACTTCCATCTATCTCTGTTTGCTGTCACCACTGATTCTGACTGGGGATTTTCCTCTAGAGAGCTTTTTGTCAGATTGATAACTGTCAAATTGTGTCTACTTTGTAAGTGGCTTTGGATAAAAGCGTCTGCTACATGCATAGACATAAACACAATCCCATACAGGAGCCTTCAGGCCTCCAGGAGGTCTGGGCAGATCCATCAGACCCACTCTAGAAACGCTGACAATGCATAAAGATCTTATTTGTGACGCTTACAAAGCATGTGACGCTTTAGTGATGACTGAAAAACAACGTGAGGAGAGGAGACGTGAGGAATCGGAAGTGTCCAGAGCTGCAAACCCCGCCTTAAACGTGGCAGATACAAAGTACTTACTCATCTGCGGGTTGAGGAAAGGATAGAGCCGCTAATAGATTCTGGTTCTGAGCAGAGAAACATGGCTGACGCAAACGGGAGGATGTATGTACATAAAACATTTATACAGATGGCTGCTTCGTCGTGCCCCGTTTGAAGTTGTGATTTTACCCCCTTCAAGGTTAATGCCCCCATCAGAATCGACAACTCAGGCAAGGCATGGCTTTAGTGGACATCTCTGTTTCCACTTTCCACCAAATATAACTTTACCAGTCACTGGATTCCTTTATTCCAATATAGGTATACTTTCCTTTAACTTTATCATTATTAAAATCACATAGAATAGAAACTACAACAGTGCCATAATCTAGTGTAAATAGAAGTATATTGATGATCAATTGTGTTCAACTGACAAAAATACAATAACCTCAATCCACAGAGAGTGTTCTGTCTTCTAAAGGACTGACACAGAGGTCACACACACAATAATAGTAAAGGAAACTTATCACAGCATCAGCAACACGTTTACAAGACAAGTGATTACACAGAAGAAAAAACTAAGACTAACAAAAAAAAAAACTGTTGCATTCCTTTCGTAAATTCCGACTAAAAGCTTATAATTATTGGTAGAAGGAAGTACCTGCTCAGACTCGCTCACGGGGGTCAGCGGCATCCTGCCGGACATCGTCCTGCTTCCCTCCGGCTCTCTGCTGCCTTCAGGCCGGGAGAAGCATCTCCCTGTGCCGGCGGGCTCCGGGCTACAGCATCTGTCCCCGGAAGCAGGCCACCTCAGCGGCGGTCAGCTGGAGGCTCCGCGGGCTGGGAGAGAGGCCCTGCCGGCTAAGGGAAGATGCTCGGCCGGCTAAGGGAAGAGGCTCCGCCGGTTAAGGAAGAGACTCGGCCCGCTGGGGGAAGAGGTTTCGCCGGCTAAGGGAGAGAGGCTAAGCCGGCTGGGGAGAGGCTCGGTCGGCTAATGAAGAGGCTTCGCCGGCTAAGGGAGAGAGGCTAAGCCGGCTGGGGAGAGGCTCGGTCGGCTAAGGAAGAGGCTCCGCGGGCTGAGGCAGAGGTTCCGCCGGCTTGGGAGGAGGGTTAGCCGGCTAAAGGAGAGGCTCCGCCGGCTAAGGGAGGAGGCTCCGCAGCCTAAGAGAGAGGCACCGCCGGTTAAGGGAGAGGCTCCGCCGGCTGTGGAAAGAGGCTTGGCCGGCTAAGGGAGAGGCTCCGCCGGCTAAGGGAAGAGGCTCGCCCGGCTAAGCTAGAGGCTCCGCCGGTTAAGGGAGAGGCTTCGCCGGCTACGAGAAGAGGCTCCGCCGGTTAAGGGAAGCGGCTTCGCCGGCTGTGGGAAAAGGCTCGGCCGGCTAAAGGAGAGGCTCCGCCGGCTAAGGAAGAAGCTTCGCCGGCTAAGGGAGGAGGCTCCGCCGGCTAAGGAAGAGGCTTCGCCGGTTAAGGGAGAGGCTCCCCGGGCTAAGGGAGAGGTTCCGCCGGCTGGGGAGGAGGGTTCGCCGGCTAAGGGAGAGGCTTTTGCCGGTTGGAGGGGAGGGTCCACCGGCTGGGGGTGGAGGCCGGGGCGGTGGCTCCGGAGGGGCCTAACGTGTGCGTCGCTGCGGGAGGGAGAGCCGCATGGACATCCAGGCGGGGACAGGGGTGGAAAAGTAGAGACCCGTCCTGCAGCATCCAGCGGTTTACCAGGTCAAACAGCAGCACTGCGGAGGTTGACATAAAAAAAAATAAAAAAAGGACGCCAGGGCCCCTCCTCCTCGTCATCCCCCTTCATCTGCGTCATCCTCCAATATCCCAGCATCCTTAGCTGCCTCACAAACCCCCCCCCCCCCCCCCCCCATCCCCCAGGATGGGATCTGAACATCTGCAGAATTCTTCCATTTCCTGGTTTCCACACCAACCAAAGTCCACATAGTTTGATCCAATTACAGAGATATGTTAAAGATCCCCTTCTTACTTCCACATTCTGAACACTCCAGAGATGCCAGACTGGTCAGCCTGAGCAGGCCACAGAGCCATGGACGGACCACAAAATAAATGTAGCCACTTTTTAGGGCAGCTGGGTTAGTCAGCCTACATCCATTCATGTGTACTGATGGGGAAGAAAGCGAGGCCTTCACAGCCCATTTGGTTCCAACCAGAATCCAGATGTTCAAATATCAGAGTGAGATGAGGAAAACCTGTTATGATGCATGATGAAGGTGTGGCCCTGCCTGGCTTTCCACTGTGCTTTTTAGGGCTTTGTCCATCTGGCAGATGGACAAACTGCACAAAAAAAACTAAATCAGAAAAACAAGAAATGTTTAAATGCTAAATCTTCCTTCTCACTCTGGCTGAAAACGCTCTGGTTTTGATGGCTGAGCAGAGTTCAGAGCTGGTGCCTGTGGTCCAGAGCTGCCACGCCGCTCTCTGCTGGACGTCTGGACCTCCAGCCATCCAGGTCCACTGCCATCTTGTGGAATCTCCGCTTTCTCTTTGAGAGTCAGCAGTGCAAAAAAAAATGAATAAATAAATAATTTTAAGCTCTCGGCCTCCTCATAAAAAAGAGGAAAGCCACTTAAAAAAAAATAATAATAAAAAAGGAGAGCACTGTGTGTTGTAAGAGTTTTGTTTAATATTGTATTGAAAAATAAATTAATGAAAACAACTTTAAAATGCAACAGCAGAGAGAGAGTGAGGGGGGAAAGATCAGATTATAAACATTCTTTGCCAGCAGAAGGTGGAATAGCAGTGCTCATGTAAGATTAAATTTACAAATATATATATAGATATATATAAAAAAGGAATTTATTTAGACATATACACAAAAATCACAAAAGCATTCCTTTACATCCAGTGAGCTGAAACTGGTCTACCACCCAACTGTTGTTCTTCCAGCTACAAAAAAGGTCTAGAAAAGTTTATTTATATATGTATAGATTTCATACACGTGTCCAGAGTGTAGATGAGGCTGTAAAAAGAAGGAAAAGTCTAAAACTGTACAAAAACAAAGAGCACACCGAGGCGACGCTGTGGATGGAATGGTGGCGAGAAAAACAAAAAACAAAAAAAAGCCTGATTCAGTAAAAACACGGTGACCTCTGACCCACTGAGCTGGAACAAACTGCCCGTGTCATCACAGATGACGACGCGGAGCTTAAGGGATTCGGGAGTTTTCACTTAGCTTTTTAAGCGTTTTATTAAGCGTTCGGATGCTTTTAACAGCAAGAGAAGCAACGCCCACGCTGGGGTTAAAAGAAAAATAAATAGATTTAAAAAAAAATAAAAAATATATAGAATTGAAATCACGGTCACCTCGGCTGAACCGGAGGAGAGAAATGAAAGCCATCTGTCCTCCGACATGTTGGTCAGGTTCCATGTGTGCCAGACGCCCGGCCGAGCCCCCCCCCCCCCAGCAGGAGGACGGCGTTGGACGGTTCCGCCTTCCGGTCGACCTCTCCCTTTGAGACAACCGTGTTCCCAGAAGAAAGGAAGTTAAAAAGCAACACATTTTTAAGGCTATCACGATGGTTTAAAAAAATAAAAAATAAAAAGAAGAGGAAGTGCTATAAAATGAGCTGGAAACGGAGTTGGTTGTATCACCAACGTGGAGCCGTTTCTTTAAACCTCAGCTCCGTTTTCCAGGAGACGGACACTGTGAAAGCTTAAGAACGAGCGCTTTTTGGGGGAAGTCTCTTCGCCCGGGCTGTGGAAACCGTTCCCACTCGGCCGCCGGTGAAGCTCAGATCCCACAACCTGCTGTCTGACAGAAGCCGAGAGGAGGGGGGAAAGCCAACGAGCGGGGAGAGGAGGGGGGGGGCAGAACTAAGCAGTGGTAGAAGAAGTGCCAAACACTGTTTTTACAGAATAAGCTAATACGTCGGTGAGGAACCACAGGCGGGGGAGTCGGCCACCAGCCGGCTGGACAGCTGTGAACCAGCGTGCCCCCGTCCAACAATACCTAAAACTATCCCAGCAAGGAAGGGTGAAATTTGGCATTTCGTTTCCATTTCCTGGCACGGCGAGAGGACCCCGGCGCTTGTGGCGAAACGTCCCAAAAATTTGCCCGGGAATTAGCCCCATTAAACCTTTTCCTATCCATCTGCCAGCCTGAGAGTGTCTACAAATAAAGCTGTAAACTTTGGTTGCAACTCCTCTTTGTTGCCCAGCAACTGAAATGGAGGTGGAGAACAGAGGGCAAACGTAATGGTTGGGTTGGGAGGGGGGGGGGCTTGTGTCATGCTCTTCAACTATACATTCACATAAATGGAATCACTGTGGAGACATCATTCAACAGATCACAAACCTGGGGAACCAGTACTGACCGGTGGGCCCTCCGACCAGCAAACGCCTGCACCCCCACCCCGGCGGAGGGGTCAGATACTTCAAACCGCTTCATCCGGATCGTAAAGCCCGCGCAGCAAGGAACCATTATCTACAGTGACGATTTAAGTTAAAAAGAAATCCTTTGTGTGTGTTTCTCAAACTGGTCCGCGGCCAGTCGGGAGGCGAGAGGGGACAGACGAGAGCCGGCCGGCCGGCGGCGGGGCGGGCTGCTAGTTTTTCTTCTTGACGTTGTTGTTGGAGGCGAGCCGGGGCCGCGGCGCGGGGATCAGGCTGGTCAGCGGGACGCGGCTCCGGGCCACCTCGAAGAGTTTGGAGAAGACCTGAGGGGAGAGACGGGGGGAGGAATGAGAAGGGCTGCCGTGGCAAGACGTCACTCAAAAGTCCGGAGTTGGCAGCTGGAATGGCAAATATGTAAAACATGGACACCTCCCTCTGTGTCTGATGAGCCTGACCCATCATACAAATTAGTCTTGGCACACAAGTTCCCTTCATTTCAGTTTTAAACCCCATGTTTGAACTGAGAGGAAAACCCTTTTTTCTTCTTTATCCCCTTCCTAGAGAATCTGCTGAAAACTAACGCTCAGAGTTGAATAAGGATGAGCAACATGACAAGGGTCAGACTGAACCGTTGGTAATCCGATCCCTCAGACTCCACTGAACAACAGTTTACTCAGCTGCCGTCACAGTAATGACTCTGGACCTAAGCTGCGCCGCGTTACGAGGTCTGACCCGGTAACGCGGCCATAAAGCAGCATGCCGGCGCTTCTCCTCAAGCCGTCGCAATCAAAGGCGGCCGGAGTCCTGCGGCACATTACGAACGGGGGACTTTGTTTAAGACAAGCTCACCTTTCTTGGAGTCCTCTGAGAGCAGAAAGGGGACAAAAATAGAGAAGGAATTAGGAGGTCTGCGATAGCCAGAAAACCTGGAATCTTGTTAAAGAGTTGGAGTCAATTTTAAAATAAAAAGCAAAAAATAAAAAAATAAAAAAATAAATTAAAAAAAAGGGGGAAAAGTATTACAATGAAAACCTGTCAGCTTATTTATACCTAAACTGTACAAGATGTCTGTGGTGCCCCAGAAAGGGAAGCAATACGAATGTACAAAATAAAACCCTGGGATGACAAAATGACCTCAAGGGAGGGCTGAAAAGAAGAAAACTCAAAACAAGCTGCATAAGGCACCAAATCGTCCGAGAAGCCACTTTTAGAAAAAGGAGGAAGGCAGAACTGCCCCGATTGTATCATTAAACTTCAACTAGGACAAGAAAGAAAAACGGCTTATTTAGTAGAGTCGCCATGTTCTTATGGCTAGCGGGGGATGCGGGCGTGTCGGCGCTCACCTGCTCCCACAGGGTTTCCGCCACCCGGTCGATGACCGCCCCCACTTCTCGGAACTCCCCGGAGTACTTGACGTAGGCCCAGACGCAGAGGGCCGCCAGCGCCAGCCCCATCACCACGTTGCAGGCCACGGCCACCGAGCTGATGCCCACGAAGCCGGTGACCAGCGAGGCCACGTAGGCGGCGAACATGACGGCGAAGAGCGTGGCCGGCGTGCGCGCGGCGTGGAAGATGTTCTTGCCGTCGTTGTGGCGGCTGAAGCTGGCGTGGGCCTCGTCCAGCTCGGCCTCCAGCTGCTCCTGGTAGCGCCGGCAGAACTCCTCGCCGCCCATCTTCTTGACGGCGCGGAAGTGCCGCACGGCCGCCGCCCGCAGCTCCAGGTGGCGGCGCTCCAGCTCGGCCGGGGCGATGTAGGGCTTGTCCCCCCCGCAGACCTGAGGGGCAGCAGACCGGACTTCAGATGCCTTTCCAGGAAGGGGAACGCCACCTGATGCCCGCTAGGGGGGCCACGCCTCACCTGCTCCATGCTCTTCGTGTACACGTCTTTGGCTCCTGCCACAGCCGCTAGGTTATTTGCTTCAGCTGTTGCCTAGGTAACAAAAAATAAATAAATAAAAAAATTTTAAAAAATTCTTCATTTTAAATGGCAAAGAAACCAACCCAATCAAAGGGAAAACACTGCCTGAAAGACTAAATAACTTTTTTTCCCCCTCCAACCTTTAGCAGCAGCTAACGCTAACAGCTTAGAGGCTCCTTTCTGAAAAGGTGAGCATGGCTGGTAGGACATCGTTTAGCTGCATCCATGTGAAATGATCAGCAGGTTTGTTATAAAAGACTCAGTCATTCCAAACCACAAAACCCGAATAGCACGCATGCATCGCTACAGGTTATGCTCTGGTTCGAGCCGTTATCGTTTGGAAAAAGCCTTGTTTGCTAACATCTGTAACAGAATATTTTACACAATGATTTTATTTGTATTTCTATACATTTGTATTTGTTTTCTATATGAAACAGATCAGGAGAATGTTAGTTCTGGGGTCAGGCTATTGTGACTTTGGAGCGAGGACATAAGAGTGGATGAGCAGCACCTCCTCAGCTAGGATGGAGGAAGCCGGCAAAAGAGGGGCTTCAAATAAATAAATAATGCTATTTCTCCTAAAAATAGAGAATGTCATTTAATATTTGAATTCATAGCACGGGAAAGGCCTCTACTGCCAACAATATCCATATTGTTGGCAGTAGATGCCTTTCCCGTGTCATTTGTGTAGAATAAAGAGCATAAATGACCACAATCTCCTTAAAGGAGGCAGACTTTAGCCCTCACAGGCTGACTGAGCTGGCCCACCATATAGTCAGAAATAAACAAAAAGAGGCTTAATCTAAAGCTTATATGATCCCATTTCTATGTCTCTCTTTACACCCTGCTTAAGTTGAGGTATTAAGCTCAATTCAGTAAAAAAAAAATCAGAACAAACTGAGGTAGTACATCAGTGTCTAGACGTTTACAGCGACGTTCCCCACATGGTTGTGCGGTGAAGAGCGCAGCTCCAGTAACGAGGCGACTGAAAGGAAAGCTACTGACCTGCAGCATGGACTTGGGGTGGGGAAGTTCTTCTCCCTGATAGATCTTCATGTAGGCCTGAAAACAGAAGAATAACCCAAGGTGATGAGGTTGTACCGTAGTCAAAGCTGTCAGACAGAAACCACAAAAATGTTTTTGTTTTGTTTTTTTAAACGAAAAAAAAAAAACACAATATAAAAAAATAAATAAAAATAAATTGGAAACAATTAGGAAAAACAATTAAAATATTTTTGTACAAAAAAATAAATAAATAAATAATAAAATAAAAAAACACTTTAAGCTAAACAAAAATAAAGAAAAAACAAACTGCCCAGCAAAAAGCAAACCGAGCACAAAACCAACTCACTTTGAAGTACTGCAGCAGGTCTCTGCAGGTGATTTTTACTCCGCCGATTTCCTTCTCCACCAGATTTTCGGGAGAAAGCAGCGCTGGGATCAGGTTCACCAGCTCCTTCTTAAATTCGTCGTCGATGTCTTAGAACGCACAGGAAAATTTCACGTGTTAAAACATTTACAGCTTTGTCCCAGCTGACGTGCATTTCCAGCTTATGATCAGTGGAAACATGCCAGTATAACATGTTTTGGTTTTTTACCCATGAGCCGGCCGTCAAAGTGGGGGTTGGTGGCCACCTTGAGGCCGGGGTGTGGGAGCAGGAAGCAGCTGATGTTGGAGAAGCAGGAATGGATGTGCTTGCGGACATTTTGGAGTTCCTCGTGCTGGTTCTGTTTCACCTGAGGAAAAAATAAATAAATAAATAAGAGAATGTCAGGATGGGCACAGTGAGAACAGGGTCCCGTCGGGTTCTTTGTTTTTACCCGCTCTTGTTCGGAGCTCAAAAGGAAAGCTGGAGCTCTGAATCTCACCTGCAGTCGCTTTTCCAGAAAGCTCTGCCCTCCCTCCAGGCCGTACGGGTGTTCGTAGGGGTAACTCCAGTCTCTGATCAAAAACATCAGCGTCTGGGAAGAGAAACAATTAGTTGTTTTTTTTCTTTTATTAAAACAAAATGGAGCTAAATGGAGGAAGAGTTTCAGTTTGCAAATCAATCTGGGGCTGGTGTCAGATGGCATGCCGGTTCTTTCCACACACAAACACCATTTAGTTTGAGGTAAAGTATGCGTGCATGCGCACACGGCAAACCTGAAAGGGTTTTTCGTAGACTTCCTCCATGGCAAGCCGCCCGTATTCGGTGAAAAGCTGCGGAGAGGAAACAGGCACTCTGCTTAAAATCAAACCCCTACGGAGCAGCAATCAGAGGACAAATGGATGAGTGCATGAGTCTTAAAATAAGAAAATCTAAGCCTCGAAAACGGTTCCCGAACAGTCAGTTTACAGGCTTTAATAAGGCAGCCAACGAGGTAAGCAAGTGTTCACTGGTGCGTTTCTCCATTACGGTTTTTCTTCCCCAGACACTCCTGTCTGAAGGACAGCCCTGATGAAGTTCCCCGTTACTCTTTATTTAGCACCATTTTTAAATTAGGAGCAAGTCCACGTCTGACCTGGGGTTCCATCAGCCGAGGAGGAGACGGTTTGGTACCGAGCTATGAGCCAGAAACAGCCGGGTTGAAACTAAATGAGGTTTCAGAGGAGCGGCCACAGACTTTGAGTCATGTGGTCAGGACAGAATGAGGTCGGTGTGATTGCCTCCCCTGTTTCTGCGTGTAGCAGGCGCTTACAACAGCAGAGCCACTTACAAGGATACAACTAGCCAAAAAACAGCTCACATCAGGAGTCCGTTAGTGGGACAGAGCAGATATTCAGGTCGTTGGGCTTCAGTTTGTGAAATATAGTAGCAGGAACACAGAAAAAACAAAAAAGGGGAGGGGGTTGTTAAAGACATGTAATTTAGTTAGTTTTATACGAGAGGAGCCTTTTGAAGATGGAGGGGGACCCCTAATGCAGTGGCATTTTGTAGGTCGTTCCACTAACGGGGAGGGGGGGAGATCAGGAGGAGGGGAAAGAGCTGCGCACCTGGAGGTGCTGGAGGTCGTCTTCCTGGACGTTCTGCGACAGGTTGTACACCTGAAACGGAACGAGCCGTTAGCTTAGCGACGCTGGGAAGCTTGGGACTTTGCGTTTCTCTCGGTAAGGAAACGCCGCCGGCCACTTTAGAGGTTTGTGGGTGGAAACGGTCGTCTTCTCGCCACTCACCTGGACAGAGCTGGTCATGGTGCTCAGGGCGAACAGCGTGGCGCAATCTTTGATGGTGGACTGGCTGTCGAACGCACCTTGCGTGTCCACGATTAAAACTGCAACCTGGAAAGGAAGACAGAGAGAAAAGAACCCAAGTAGGCAGCTCGTATTACAACTCGATAGTGGCGTGCACTTAACAGGGGTTACGGTTACGATACATCCATGTAAAAAAGGAGAAAAAACACACACCATTACGATGGGTAATGGAGCCATTATGTTGATGGATGACCCACCTTGCTCCCATCTGGTTTCCCCACCACAAACACTTCGCTCCAGGCCAGGATGCCAGTGGTTTCCCTCTCGCAGCCCCCCCGCCAGGTGAAGCCGGTCAGAGGCTCCTCCTCCCCGCCAACCCACGAGTCGTGTGACTGGAATATGACCAATGAGACGGCTTAAACGTAGTCCACAAACCAATGAAACTGTTCCTGCCTTTCAAATGCTACTGGCTTCCTGGATGTAGCCAAAAGCAGAGCTCATTAAACTATACAGCAAAAATGATGCCATTCTATTCCAGCAAAAGCTTCCTACTAATTGAGGTTAGATATTTGGATGATGCTTTATGTGCCTCTGGTCTAAAGAGACCACAGGATTCAGAATATATATATATATATTTTATATAAGAATATATAAAAATAATGCACATCCCAACATACAAATTTCATTTCAAAGAGCAAAAAGAAAAAAAAAAAAAAAAAACCTTTATAAACATTTTAAGTACAAATTACATAAAAACATTGAAAAAAATAAAAATAAAGTTTGATGTGAAAATATCATTTTGAAAATAACCCAAAGTCATTTTCCCCAGTTGTCTTTTTCAGCCCTGTGTACCGGCTGTGCGTGGTAACCTCACTCTGACCTGTGTGTGGGGACTGGGCTTTTTCCCCAAGCATAAAGATGGCCTTTATGTTTGGGAAAAATCAGGAGTGAGTTCTGGAGGCCCACAGACAGAGCCAGCATTGTGCCAACTTCAAATCCTCTTTGCAGCACGATGAAACCCTCTAGAATGTTCCTCGGCGCTCACTGTAGGACTACCGGGGCTAAAGGATTAGCCTTCTCCAAAACCCCCCTGACCATTTCAGCTAAAGACCGAAGTCTAAAAAACAACTACGGGTCAAACTACACTGGCAACACGAGCGTGTTGAGCCCAGTGGAAGCGCTTCACGCGCCATCGGAGCGGAGTACCTGTTTGTACATGTAGCGCAGCATGAAGTCCAGGAGAAAGGACTTGCCCTTGCGGAAGGCTCCGGCCACCGAGACCACGACCACGTGGAGGTCCCGCACCTCCGGCTGCAGCAGCAGCTGCTCCAGGGCCTCCTCCTGCAGCGAGAAGGAGTGCTCCTCCTCGTCCGCCACCACGATCTGGACCGGCCGGGCCACCGCGGCCGCCTCCTCCTCTTCACCCAGCAGGACATCATCCTCCTCCTCGTCTCGCCTCAGCTGGGATGGTTCGGATTTAAACCCATGACCTCCTGAAAAAAAGAGAATTTGTTCAAATCTGACAATGCTCACCAAGGAGAGAAGGCCAATGGCCCACTAAATCCCACTGAGGACAGTTTGGGGTTCTGCAACGACAGTTCGTCCAGTCATGAAAAATGGGCCAAAGCTGCATGTGCATCTGAATCCAGAAATGTAGCAATCAGGCCAATGCACAGACCTCAATGAGTATTTAGGTCCACATACATCAATCACAAATCCACTGGAGTGTTACAGAGCTCCAGGTTTGAACCAGGTGATGGAGGGGGGGCCCACATCAGGATCAGTTTGGAATCCTTGTCATATCCTGGAGTCTATTCTGAGTCTACCCGTGCGTCTTTTCAAAAGCCATCGCTCTTCAGTTTAAGCCGAGTTTCTATTGTGATCCGTAACAGGAGACGGCTTTTCACAGGCCTGGTGTCGTGGTACATGTTGGCCTCTTTATCTTGTCCTATCAACTGTCCAGAAAGTTGGCCTTCCTGGTTCTCAATTAAAGTTTGATAACTGAAAGGGGTCAAACAAATGCATAATGAAATATCTGAAAATAAAAAAAAGATAATAGAACTCAAAAGTTCGATCATTTCAACAGCCCACAGTTTGAGGTATAAAGATGATCAATCAAAAAATAAATACATTTAAACCTGCTTTTTCCCCCAATTCACCTCCCAGCTGTTATGGGGCCAGAGGCAGTACACTGGACAGGTCAAACATCTCACACAGGCCATTATAAAATAGAAATGTAACGTTACTTAAGCACGATGTGAAAAACACTGTACAACATACCACCCCCCCCCCCCTTTTGTCCCCTGCCCTTTCTTATATTCAACTCCAAATGTCAAAGAGAAAAGTTGTAAATATGATCGAAATGAGTCATTTCTCCATTTAACTATGAATAAATAAGAAAACTAGCAGTTTGAACATTCCACAGTCAGACTGGATCTTTCGACCGACGTTAGTGAAGCCTCACAGAACGCAGCCAAGAGGAAAGCTTAGCTGAAGCCATGGCCATTAATGGACTGCAGAACCAACTAGTTTACAGTAAATACACTAGGTCAGAGAGTCACTTTCAGCCCACCCCTCACCCATCCACAGCAGTTATGCTCCTAATGCCAAAATTTCACCAGAAAGTTAAAAAAATAAAACAAAAAAAACAATCAGAATCCGAACTTCCGTGATGGATCTAATGCAAAGGTTGCCATCAGACGTGATATTAAGCCAGAGGATCAGCCCGGAACAGCCTGGAAGGCCCTGGAGTGTCATGGCTGCGAACACAGCAAGGTCATGTGGGTGTTCTGCAGTCAGGGCCACAACAGAGAAAAAAAATAGTCACAGGAAAGATGGAAGTAACGTAAAGGCTGACATACATTATTTATGAAGGCCTTTGTGTTATGCCAGCGTTAGCCGGGGCTTTTGAAGAGACAAGCGATGCAGTTGGTTCAGTGTTCCAGGTCTCCGCACAGGACATGCGTTGCCTGGGGGAAATGACTTCCCCAGCACATAGAAACATAGCACAAAGCCAGCCCAACCTTCCCGTTATGCAATCAGGCAAAATATCAGATTACTTCGACAACAGAAAGTGGATTAAGACGGGGAAAAAAAGTGCTCAGATAGCTGTGTTCTCACTATGCAATCTAAACGTATTGTGTTTGGCAGCAGAACAGTGAAAACACAGGCTGAATTATGACTCTGGAACACCGCAAAACCGAATGCGAAGAGGGCAAAATGAACGTCGGTCCATTCAAATCCAAAGCCACACTTCTCAAGTCGGAGGGCTCCTTCTACTGCTCTTTGACTATTGTTGAGGATTTCAAGTGGCTCCATCTTTTGCACAAGTGATGGCAAGCTGGAACAACAAAGTCAGAGAGATGGAGACTTCATTTGAAGCAATGATGGCATTCCAATGCTCACCCTACAGTAAGATTTGGGTAGCGACCTAAACAACTTGACTGCAGATACTAGAGAACTGAGGAAGCGTGGGCATCCCGCCCCTCCTTTTCAGCCAGCTGTGGTGGTTTGGGATGACTTCATGCTTTTCAGGCGTGGAGGAGACCCGAGGGCAGAGCTAGCTGGGGAATGGGACTAGGACGAGAAATGTTTGAGTTCCTCCTCTGGATCCGTGACCCAACAACCAGCTAAATGACTGCATCCCATTTAGTGTAGCAGTAGTAAACGTTAAATGCCTGATCAGATATCAGTTTAAGGTTTTTATAAGTATAAAAAGGGGGGAAAAACAGAAATCTGACAACAAAACGTCCAGTATTTTTTACAGGCATATGTGAAAAAAAACTGAAGATGCTTGATCACATGAATATCCAGCATGACAGTCAGAAACTGCATAAGCCAAGCTAATCCATTTGATGCCGTGACAAAACCAAAGAAGATTCCTCCAGTAATTTAGCCATAAAAGGCCCGGAAGGCAAAGCTATCAACACTGAAATGTGACCCACTTCAAATGCATGCTCAACTTGTGATTTCACGTGTAGATGAGGCTGTCTTTTTCGTATTACAGGAACTATCTATGCCTTTTCCTGGTGCATTATTTCCTTCACAGAGTTGTTGGTGCGCATTTCGCCACACATAAAACCATTCAACACGTGAGTCCCACGTTAAGGCAGGTGCACTCAGCTGAATCCTATGAATGTGTTGCCAACTTTTCCCGCTCCTAAAGAACAATAAAAGTTATCCAACTCCAGAGCCCTGCCTTGCTGTAGTTATTTAGGCCGGAGAACTGCCGGATCCCTGGTCAAACCAGCTGAGCGTCAACCAGTGAGCAGATTACTGGGATCTACCCGTCAGCCAGTCACTGAGCTGAGACAGCACATCCAACCCACCGCAGGCTTCCCCGAAAAGCCTCACAATACAACCGTGACTTCACGCCCTTAGAACGACACTTGGAATGTGATTTCCGGCAAGAAATACATCTAATGGATCCCAAACTCATTGTCACATCTAAGCGATTTAGCTTCGTCAAATCACTCAGCATTGGTCAGACATGTCAGCCTATACACAAGCAATTATTAACATAAGTTTTATTTTTAATTAATGTATGCGTTTATGTTATGAGCGCGCAAAGCTAGCAAAAAAAACAGAAAGCTATATCGGTATATCGAAGTACGCGTTGGGAAATGATCCCGTTATCATCAAGGATATTTATTCATCCGACTGAAATTACACAGCAATTTCCGTCCGCCTGCTATTCGAACCGAACCGGAACGGCGTACAGACATTTGAAACCTCTGCCTGAAACCGTGGCTTGGCAGTTTTTACCAACAGTTTCTTGGGAAAAGGGAAAAAATTAGCAGGAAAAGGGCTATGCTAGCAGGGGCGCTAACAACAAAGTGAGCCGCAGGTGAGGGCAGCTGGGCGGGTTCACAGAGCCCCCAGCACCGGCTGCTGTCCGACGCTACATTCAAGCGTTAAGGCGAGGCGACTCAATTACATGCCGTATTTATTCACCGCTTATTTAGTGTCATGTTTACAGAAACATTTCTTCCCCTTTCGCGTAAAGGAGTTATCGTTTCTCAGCAGGGTGCGAAGCGATGGGTGATGAGATTATTCGACGAGGCGGACCGCTGCCTCCAGTAATTTCATAACATTCCTGAGATAAATAGAATATAAATACACGACTGTGGAAAATACGGACGCAGAAATCTCTACCGTGACGTGTCGCGTGAGTAACGCGGCTCTGTGAGAGCGTGGGCTCGTCTACCTTCTCGGAAGATGCTGTTTTTGTGATTCCGCTGCTTCAACCTGCTCTCCTCCGCCGCCATCTTTCTTGACCTGCTGATAGCGGCAGCCTGCCGTGACGTCACAGGACCCACAGCGGCCCCGCGTTGTCTTAAAATACTGAAATAAGCCCCGCCCCCTCCAATCACCTCCCTCTCGCGAACCTTTCCTGCGAGCATCTTTGATTTAAATAAGCTCGTCATATTCAGATATTGCACATCCGGTACGTAAATGGTCTCTGTAGCTTTGTTTATCCCCCCTCCTCACCTTTAGAAAACGTGCACTGTCTTGGTTATGTGTCAGTATGACAGGACTGGTTTTTAAGGAATTGTGTTTCGTAACTTGTTGAAAACGGTTAAACAGGTCTTTGATTTTTATCTTTTAACATAATTTCTTCATTTAAAAAAGGTTGCAAACGTTTTTGAAAATAGTGATATTGTTCCATATAGCCTGTGGAGTCTGTACACTCCATAAAAGAGTTAATTCAGCCTGAATGTCTGACTTGAAACCTTGTGATTTCTGTGGAAAATTAATTTGACTCTCAAATGATCCATTGTTGCCTCTTACCATTCATGGAGAAACAATCCTTGCCTGTTAATAAAAACCATCCACCCTTTAGATGCGATGGGATTTCACCTCATTTTCAGACTGGTGGACAGACAGAGAAATCAGTTGTTTACGGTGAGGTTCTGAGTTCATTTTCCATTTGTGTCAAAGGGCGTCTGCTACCTGTTTTGCTCAGACACGAATCGGTCTTAACACCTGGATGTCGGTATGCCGAAGTGCTATCTGATGACAGTCTGGTCGAACAGGCTTCTGTAAAACAGAGCTGGCTGACTGGCTGCCGGACATAATTCAGAATGACACATACCACAAACCTTAAACTGACGTCAACTGTCATTTTGTAATTTCACAGTACACAAACTGTTGTGTATTCAAAAATTATTATGTTCTTCTGAACAAACTCAAAGTCTCTGATGTACTCAGTCAGAAAACCCGGCAAAAAGCATTTAGTTTATCGATTATTTTGGCCCTGCTGTTGTCACTTTAGCCAAACCAGTCAAAGCTCTCCCCAAGTCAGACAATGAGAACCTTTGTGTGGACTTTATATCTGTCTATGTTAAGGTTGACATTTTTGGCATGCTAGTGGTTACTGCTCTTTAATTGCATTACTACTCTACAAAAAATAAATTATTTCATGTCATGCCCACAGCAAAAACTTGTCTTAATTCTCTAAACCAGCTATTACCAGTTAACCCACCCATCTTTTTTATTCATCCTAGCTCCCATAACAAATACATCACAGTCTAAAATGTATTTTTCTTGACTAACTCTTTATTTTTGACACAATGTAGATATTCATTTTAATAAAACTGTTCATTTTGAGGAAAACTACATCATAATTTTCTTCTCAGACGTCACCCATGAAAAGAAAAGAGGTCACACATAATGCAGCAATTTAAAATGAAACGCATCTATATAAATCAGTGTTTTACCAACAAAATAGTCACAGCTTCCTGCTTGTACATAAAAGCCGCTATGGTGGAGTCAAAGGAAAATGATGGGGAACAGTGGAATCACAACTGTGCATTCTAATGAAATGTTCAAAGGAGTTATTGAAGTGCAATAAAAAAAAATGATGAATATGTAATAGCGTGAGCAAATAATGGGGGACTTGTAAAGAGAAATGAATGAAAGTCAATAAATGTTGGATTATGAAAATGAAATGGAGATATAAAATAAACGATTGTCATTTTTTTCCACATTGTTTTTGCTATATCATTATTACTTTAGCCATTTTCAAGTAGTCTTTCCTTTACCTTTTCTGTATTGCTTTTCCCTTTTTATCAATTTATTTTTACTGCTTTTCTCCCTTGCTTTTGCCATTAGGTCAGCCATCGTTATATCAAAAGTTTTCCCTTCTTAGACACTGACAGCATAATTTGGTTATCAACGGGCTAACTCAAGCTTGTAAATCAGCAAAACTAACCGATAGGATATACCTATCATTTAAATTCCCATGCAGTCAGTCTGACACTGGCAATAGTGGACGATGTTACGCAATTGTGTCAATTCAAAACATGCTCGAAGAAGCATTTGCTTAGAGGTTGACTCCTATGAAAGTGAGGCTGCACACAAGAGGGAAGCTAATCCTGTTCCTAAAGGACCGCTACCACTGCCAAACATCGTGTCTCGTTGTATACGCCGTCTAGATCTTGGTATTTCTCATGTGGAGATAAAAATTGATTTGTGTTGGTTTTGTAGAAGGAGTAGTTTAATGATTAGTTCCACACACACTATTTTTTAGAAGTAGCAAAGAAAGTAAGCAAAAGCAATGCAGAGAGAGGAAAATGAAAAACCGGCTCATAAAAGCTACAGCAGTCACAAACTCAACTAAACTAATACTTAACTACAACTGCAGTGTAATAAAAAAATAAAACCCAATCCAAAAATAAATATGAGGAAATACAGAAAAATTAAACAACATGAATAAATTCAGTACAATATGTAAATGAGCAATACAATATTCCATAATTAATTCATTACTTTATTCAAATTCCTTCAAATTTTCACATTTTCTTATGTCTCCTCATTTTTTTGGCACTCCTCTTTCATCCCATACATCTCAGGAAGAAGCAACTGCTTATGATGTTTGACAAACTAATATAAATAAACTAAATAAGACTACAGTATATACAGAATGTCATCTTTATTCATTGTAACATCTGTGGTGTCAAAGCAACAAACCATTTATTCCTTCCTTTCTCAGTCTTAATCTAAATATCCAGGGAAGCCTCTCTATTGATATTTCTTCAATTTAACAAGTTATATTTCACTCTGTCGATCAAAAATCCAATCTTACATGTTTAATAAGGGAAACTAATTCTTTTTAATTCTATTTTACTTAATTATTCCTGTTTAATATGTTAAAACATGTTTTCAATCCCAGTATTTACAAAGCTACCAAACCTTGTAATGAAGCATACCAAAATAGTTTTACATGTGGAGGTGGATGCTTCTGTAGAAACATACTCCACATTTATTTAGATTTATCTGGATTTTTTTTTTATAGTATCAGTGTTTGGGGGTGTGGATGCGTCTATTTGTGCTTTTAAATGTGACCACCGTGAAATAATTGGTTTGATTATGCCTTTTATTTTTTTTCCATATCATTAGCTCTGTTTGTCACTTTGAACACCTCGGCCGATACTCTGCTGCCCCAGGGCTGCATTTAAAACACCGTCTCATAAATATAATTATCGAGTAGCTCCCCATCAGCATTCCTCTGATCCACATTTACATGTACGAACTGATTAGAACCCTTACATATTTTTAACAGTTAGAAGTATCTCACGCTGTCTACAACAGGTTGTGCTATAAAATGTAAATCTAAAGGAACAAATTCGGACAGAAAACCCCATTAAGTTGCCATTTTACTGCAATGCCATCCTATTGCTTCTTTTGGTCATACTGCCTCTTCAAAAACCATGCAATTTTTTTTCCCCCCACTCGATAGCCTTCCTGCCGTTTTCAGAATGAAGAAATGGGCTCCCGTGCTGTTTTTCCAGGAGGATCTTTGTCTGCGCCGTAGCCGTCTTATCGCTGGATCACAAATGGGAAGAAGTGGAGAAGCAGAGCTTCAGGGTGAAGGGGTTGGAGCTGCCTGTTGGTCAGAGGTAAACAGGCCCGCTTTACACAATTGATCTGGCAGAAACATACTTGACAACAAACCGTTTTCTCTTTTGACTCATGGCTACACGTATTAGACTTTTGAATTAAAGCCACCCGCATTATGACTGGTTCTTCATGGAAATCCATTTTCATAATAAAGGCACTTACTGGGTATTCTGATCTGATGGTGGTTCAGGACGGTCAGAGCCTCGACTGCTTCGGTTTTGTTTTCGAACTCCAACAGTCCGGAAAGTGTCTTTGAGCTAGCTGCAGGGGCAGATAAAGAAAGGTGGATGGATATCTGGGCGGAGATGCGTTTGCTGACCGCCGTGTGTGACCGGCAAACTCACGTTTGGCGTCAAAGACCTTGAACTTGGTGAAGCTGGGAACGTTGTGTTCAGAGCAAAGCTGCGGACGGGAAAAAAGAGGCGAGGAAATGACTTACTCTCTTTGTTTTTTTCGTTCAGAAAAGAGGTTTTTCTTTGTCGGGAGTCATCCCTCTCACTAAAGAGGGACTCCCCGGGGCGGGGGGGGAGCCCACCTTGAGCAGCTGGTGTTGGCTGAGGGTGGGCGGCGCGTTGTAGAAGTGCAGCACGGCCGCCGGGGGCTGGATGATGTTCCGGCTGCTGTGCGCGCTGCTGAAGCGGTTGTTTCGGGTCAGGCTGAAGTCCTGGTAGCTGCTGCTGCCGTCGGCCAGCTCAAACACCTGGCTGGGGATGACCGCCTGCTGCTTGGACACGCTGAGGACGGAAGGACGCAGGCAAAAGGCAAAAAAAAGGAAAGCCCATTAACACTGCTTTGTCTGAGTGGAATGGGCTGAAGCTTGGCCCAGATCCACTCCGAAAGATCATGCGACTCCTCTCTCCCTGAATCCTTCCCTTTTTTTTTTTAAGTTCGTATTCTGCCAGATCTGTTCTAAGAATATCAGAAAGGTGCCCAGTTTTTAAGCTGTGAAAGCATCGAGGGACTCATTTTTTAGTTGTTTGTGTGTCGCGTTGGATAAGAACACACAGAGTAAAGTAAACCTTGACCCAGCTTTCTGATTTGTCTTTCTTGAAAGAGTTGGACAGGAAGCAGATGTCCAGTTTCTGGAAGACTGTTGGATTTGACCAATCCAGCCGACACTAAATTTGTGATGGAGCTCTTTCCTACCACATGCATCTGTTTGTACCAACATATATATATATATATATATTTTTTTTTTTTTGTTTTTTTAGGTTGCCAGGTCTTTCTGGAAAATTCAGTCCAGTATTACAAGAATTCTAACAAGATCGTTCTGATTTTCTCTTTCTTGAAAGAGTTGGAGAGGAAGCAGATGTCCAGTTTCTGGAAGACTGTTGGATTTGACCAATTGCGCCGAGCAAAATTTGTGACGGAGCTCTTTCCCACCACATGCATCTGTTTGTATCATCATATATATATATATACATAGCCTATATATTTTTTTTTACGTTGCCAGGTCTTTCCGGAAAATTCATTCCAGTATTACAAGAATTCTAACAAGATCGTTCAGATTTTCTCTTTCTTGAAAGAGTTGGAGAGGAAGCAGATGCATCTGTTTGTATCATCATATATATATATATATATATATTTTTTTTTTTACGTTGCCAGGTCTTTCCGGAAAATTCAGTCCAGTATTACAAGAATTCTAACAAGAGAAAGGAAGAATGGCGCTGTCTTTTGATGGCCATGAATATTGGATGTAACTTTAGCTGTTTGACTTTAGTATAATTAACACCGACTGTCTGATTCCGCCCAACTCCGGGGCCAAAGCCCCGACATTGTCCTGAGCTTTGAGGATGAGTCGGCGCTCACCAGACGTTGAGTTTCTTGCCGAACACTTTGATGCTGTTGAGGTGAGTCACGGCTCGGTCCACGGCATACTCATCGCCCATTTCCACCAAGGCTGTGCCAGGAACACTCTTCATGAACTTAACCTACGACCAATCAGAGGGTTTTCCAGTTACACCGTCACTGAAACAGCTCAAAGAGTGAAATGCAGTTTTATGAGGTTAAGAATGTCTTTTTTTTTAAAGAAAGAAATGTGTAATTTGACAGATAAATCAGACACTCCATGTGTTAAATTATTCAACATATTTCATAAATGTGAAAATGAATTAATTGAAATAATTGATATGGTCCTCAATCAGATTTCCTGCACATTCAGAGCAGAATCTCTGCTTTTAAGAGAATATGGCACAATGCTTCATGTCTAAATTTGGCCTTTATTTTTCTAACTATTTTCAGGTGAAAAAGGAAAGCTGAGAGAAGGAAATTGATAACACTTACAAACCAAATCAAAAGTAGATCAATGGATGATGTTAACACATTGTCAAGATTTAGAGGCATTACTCTACAGTTCTACAAGCCCTCTTTAGTGATACCATCAAATCTGAAGGGATGAAAACACACACACACCTTCTCCACATTGCCATAGAGACAAAAGAGATTGAAGATCCGACAGCAGTTCATCTTGGTGGGATGTAAGCCGCTCACCATAGCGACCGAACTGGAGCCCAGAAGGGAGGAAGAAGAAGTGGACGGAAAGGTCTTTGGTAGGAGAGGTGGGTAGGAGACCATGTCCTGGACCTGCTCCCCCATCCTCCTGTACCTGCTGTTAGCAGGCAGAGGCAGCAGGGGGCAGTGTGGACCTGCACACCCACACACAAACACACAAACAAACAAACAAAAACAAAATGCAGTGGGGTCAGAGCGAGGAAACGGGGAACAGGACGTCAGGACGAGCAGAAGGCGATGCAGACAGACCATAGCCATTGGACGGATGCTCTCCTAAGATGGCTTGACGCTGCCTTCCCTTGCCCCGTTCTGTAACAGACGACAAAAGAAAACAAATTCAAGTAAGTTAGACCACAGGAAAGTGTAGTTCCCCTTGGCAAAGTCACACACCGGACTTAACAGTTGTCCAACTCGACGTAAACTATACATTTATTAAATTACTGATCATCTGAGACTAAACCCTGACAAACTCTGACCGCAACTCAATTCAATTCAATTCAATTTTATTTATATAGCGCCACATCACAACAACAGTTGTCTCACAGCGCTTTCCAAACAGAGCTCTGTTTGGAAAGCGCTGTGAGACGCTATATCAATAAGACAACCAGAAACCCAACAATTCCCACCATGAGCAAGCACTAGGCGACACAGGCAAGGAAAAACTTCCTTTTAACAGGCAGAAACCTCGAGCAGGCCATCTGCCTCGGCCGGTTGAGGGTGAGGGGAAAGATGATGAACTAAACAGTAATGAACTAAACAGTAATGTCATGCTAGACTGGGACAAAGTCAACACTCATCCCATAAAGCCATCAGCCCAAAAAGAGAGCTATGTTCCAAAACACACAGAATTAAAGCATGACCGTTTCAGGGTGATGTCCAGTCAAATCAGGGTCTGGGCAAAACCCACACTGTTCTGTTAAATGACAACTCCAAATCAGAAGGGGGACCATTTCATATCATGGCTTTACTCAACCAGAGAGCACCAGATTCAACAAATTTTTCACCTGAAAAACGTTTTTTTGGGGGGGAAAGGAAATGGTTTAGTTTATTGTTGTCTTTTAGCCATGACACAGTTCTTTTCTGCCAGTTTAAAGGAGGCAGCAGGTAGTGTAAGTTAATCCAGACAGACTAATATAAGTAATATTTTTAAACCCCTAAGACCTTCTTAATTCAAATGGGATATTTCATATCTGCATGATCCAGGTCTGACCCTTAGTCTCTCTTAGATCTGAGCACATCTGGAAAATCTGTGGACTCTCAGATTTCCCGGGACCTTAACTGACCACCGGCACCACTTACAGCCATAAACTCCACGTGTCATTTTTAACCGTAATCTCCTGGGTACTTTTCCATTCTGCTCTTTAAAGCTATTCACCTCACCGGTGCTCCTTAGCTCCAGCTGTCTGGGGTCACTGATCAACCTCCTCTTTCTCTAAGCCCCTCACTCTCAGTCTGTCAGATCTGTCTCTAAGTTCTGTCTGTCCATTTGCTTCATAAGTTCTCCATTACTCTTTCATAGATTTCCAAGTTCTTATTCTCCTAATTGTTTATTTCTCTTTATTTGGTCGTACTTTTGCTTTTGGCAATTAGTCTTTTTGTTTTTCAGGGTTTATATTAGATTTTGTACCTGGCCTTTCCATGCTTTTTGCTGGGCAATCATATAGTCAGTTGGTTAAACTGGTGTTGGACAATGAAACGGTCAGATTGTTTTTTTCTTGTAATGGCTCTTTGGTCTGACAATATTTGAATCCATAAATATTCTGGAGTCATCCAAATTGACCGCAGGTATTTTTTTTTCAAAATGTCTCCACGTTATCTCTATGATTCATTTTTTTTATCAGGATGAGGATTATAAAGACATTTTAATATATTTTTTCTACAAACCTGAAAAAACCTTGATACAAAAATAACCAAACAAGCTACTTCATCAGGCCGTGTGAACTGCTGTGGACTGAGAAAGTTCGCAAGATAGTTTAACCTGAATTTGCTTCACAGCACACGGCAGTCAAGTCTGAAACATTCCACGCAAAGTTCATGCATTTAACTTCCTGGTGTTCTCACGTTACTCACAATTTCTCAAGCCATTAAAATTTTTTTTACTTATCTCCTTTGAATGATAAGAGAGATAAGAGAGATAAGACAGCGGCATTCCAACAGCACTGATCTCAGATTAATTATGTGGAGGGAAGAAATATCTAGAACACTTTATGTCTACATGAATGCTGCTGCTGGCTATGGAGAAAGGAGTATGTTTCTGTGATAAATATGGAAACCGCAAAGCAGATTCTGTTGTGCCGGAAGTTTCCCTTTTCCTCAGCTTTTCGTGCCATTAAGCAAATTCATGGCCTTTTCTCTAAACTGAGGTTGACAACCCTGTCAGCGTTTCATCAGGATTTACGATTTGGGTATCCAGCTGGGACAAGCACCTTTTTACAGAATCATACTCTGCCAGCAGACCCTGTCAGCTATCATTTAGCCTTTCTTAGGGAATTACAGAGAACTGTTCATTTCACTTCATTTATATTCTTATCATGTCTGTTGAAAACAGCCAGAATTAGAGTTTTCCCTTTGTCATCACCACATCATCATGGAAATAGACTCATGTATCGGATTACATTTGACAGTCACTGCATTTAGGGAGTGATGTTTGGAGAACTTTAGGATCTTTAGATTTGTTATGTAACAGAACTTTTTCCATATCTGGTGTTTTGTTGGATCCATAGGATTGTTAAGTGATAGTTAAAATATACAAGACTACACAAAAATCCAAGCCATCCATTCATAAACCTCGACCCATTAGTCTGTATTTTACGTACAGTATTCTAAACAAGTAACTCAAGCTGTTGAGTTACATAAACCACTAAATATCTCCCGTTTTTGCAGCTCAGTGAGTGCGGCGGTCAGATCAGCAGCGTGTGTGTGTGTGTGTGTCCTACCTCGGTGCAGGAGGAAGGGTTTGGTGTAATCCCAGCTGGTGTTGTCGTTGCGGACGACGTTCAGTCTGTTGGGCTGCAGGGGGCGACAGAGCACAGCACCTCTGGGTGGGTGTGTGTGCGTGGGCATGAGGGTGAGAGTGCATATGTGTGCGTGCCCCTGAGTGTGTGACGGCCGGATGTGTGTGTATGTGCGTGTGTGTTTACCCGAGCATACTCGATCTTAAGTGTGCAGCAGCCAGAGTAAATATCGGCACCGTTCAGAGCCAGTTTGGCCTTCTGAGCGTCCTCCACGGACTCAAACGTTAACAAGCTTGTTAAGGATGACTCGGCAGGAAAACCAGCAAGCAGGCAATCAGAGAGCAGCAAAAGTGGACCTACGCAAACCTCAGGGGGAGCTGGCTGTCAGCTTTAGTAATCTTAACTCGATCTGACTATGACAAAACATGTCCCGTCAGCTTGAACCTCCCCGAACAGTCCTGCTCCTACCATCCCTTCCAATCGTCATGTGGCATTAGCGGGAGCGAAAACAAAATTAAATAGTCAGTGAAGCAGTAAAAGATGATTTAGCGTAAGACTAAAAAAAACTGATTCGACATGTTTTAACCGAATCTTTCAAAGCACAGAAACGCCCAATGACGGACACGCGGTCAGGATATTCCACCATGGCCTGGATGCCGTTGCGTTTGAAGATGACGATGCGCAGGACGTTCCCCACGGGGTTACAGACTGTGTACAACACGTCCTGCGAGAAACAGAGAGAGGACACCGTCAAAGGCCTTAGCACAGACTGAAACCTCAATCAAATCAAACCCAACCTTCAAATTATCTTATTTAATGTTGGGTTCATTTAGCTATTTCAAGTAAAAGTGAAAAAAAACATCACTTTGTTCATCACATCCAATCAGTTTGTGTGAGTAACTGGTAAATAAAATTATTATATTACAAAAAAACAACAAAAGAACTCCCAGTTTCAATCCCCCGGGGGCCTCGGGGGCCTCCCTATGTCTGAGTGGGTTCTCTCCCAGGACTTCAGCTTCCCCCCAGAGTCCAAAAACATACAGTTGAGTTAAGTGGAGATCCAAACTACCCGTGGGAGTGAACGTGTGCGCCTGTGGTTTTTCGTTTCCATGTGTCTCTGTGATGGCCTGGTCACCTGTCAGGGGACTAGCTGCCTCTCGCCCAGTGACCACTGGGATAGGGTTTAAGCGACCTATGACCCTTAAGGTTGCTCCAGGAAGTTAGTTATTTCCTAGAATAACCTCTTGATTGACATTTTAAAACCAACATTTGTCCACTAGGGTTGATGATATTAATCACTATTTAAAGAATGCTGTCAAAAGGAAATGTGGTTATGTTATAACAGCTATTTTAGATGTAAATGTTTTAAAAATCAAGCTTTGAATTGATTGTTGCACAAATATCCAGTGTATAATCTGGGATTAAACTGACTATTGACAGTATGTAAAATAAAGACATCTTTATCTAAAATTAATCATTAATTTAACAAATTTTCAAAACAAACCTTTTCCAATTAATTAGGACTCTAACTATCTTTTGTTCAGCAGATGTTCTAAAATGTTTATTTCAAATATAAAAATGAAATATTATCGTCAAAATGCCTTTGTGCTTTTATCTGCCAATTGGGGCCCAATGGGGGTTGTGTGTGTGTGTGTCTTGGGGTTGTGTGTGTGTGTGGCTGGGGGTTGGGGGGGTTGCAACCTGGACTGGTCGCCAGTCCATCACACACAGAGACAAACAGCCACACACTTTAATTCATTCCCAGGGGCAATTTGGAGTGTCCAATTAACCTAACATGACTGTTTTTGGACGGTGGGAACCTGGAGCACCCGAAAATGACCCATACACACACAGAAAGGAGCCGGTTCCCCTGGTGATTAGCATTGCCCAGGTCCAAAAGCATTAAAATAAGATTCATTTGAAGGGAAATAAGAAGAAAAAGTGAGGACATTCAGGTATTTTCAGTAAAAACATAGATGAAAAACAGTTTAAACCACGACGAGGTAAACAGGAAGCGAGGCTGCACTCACGGTGGTGATGGGGTAGAGCGGATTCTGGATGGACAGCAGCAGGACCTTGTTTTTGCTGGTGGGGTCGTCTGCGTTGGTCGGCCTGGTGATCCTCTGGCTGGTGGAGAAGTTGAAGAAGGCCTGCTGCTCGGCGATGTAGACGGCCTCGTGGGCTCCGCGCGTGACGCAGCGCTCGGCGCTCTCCACGCTGTCGAACTCCACCAGGGCTTGACGCTTGAAGGGCATCATCATCACATAGCTGCCAACAGAGACAGACAGGGGGTGGAAAGTTGTGAGGCCTCACACAAACGCCAACAAAAACAATAAAATCGGCCCTGAAAAAGGGGGTTGAAATTGTGAGGGAACGTATTATATTGTAGGTTTATTACAATCTTACCACCACTAACTGTAGCTGTGTCCCACAGGACGTCAAGTAATGAGCCATCTATGTTCAGATTTGGTCCCAAAGCCCAGAGAAACCGCCCACCCTGAGCCATGGTTCCGCTCGAGGTTTCTGCCTGTTAAAAGGAAGTTTTTCCTTGCCTGTGTCGCCTAGTGCTTTTTGCTCATGGTGGGAATTGTTGGGTTTCTGCAATTAACTTCAGAGTAGGGTCTGACCTGCTCTGTTTGGAAAACGCTGCGAGACAACTGTTGTTGTGACGTGGCGCTATATAAATAAGATTGAATTGAATTGAATTGAAACCACCTGCCTTTATCAGTGCATTGTGTCTGCTGTTTGCACAGCACTCCTCTTTATTCACTAACGGCATACAGCTGATGATATACGCTTTATTCCTGCCTCCACACCCACCTGGCCGTTCTTCTCTTTCTGCGTCGCACCATTAAAAGGTTCCAGCTTCAAAAATCTGACATGAACTGTACTTGCCAATTCACATTTTCTATACAAAAAATGCTTAATAGATTATGTCCTCTTAGAATCTTTGCAGCAGACAAAGTCAAATGACAATAGACTAGAGGAAGTAGCAATATCTTGAGGTAAAACTAGATTAGTTACAGGAAGTGGCTCATTGTGGTTACTGAGTTCGAGTCTGATTATTGCAATGACCAGCAGAAACACATGAACAGGTAAGGCACACACACATATTGTACCTAAATTGCTCAAATCCTCTACTTAAACGGAGTGACAACAACCATCAATCTCAGTAACCAGTACTTTAGATTGTGATTTGTTGTAGACATGATGGCTGTCTCAGAACGGACTAAAAGAGACAGTTTAAAAAGTTGATTTATACCAGATGCTGCCAAACTTGTCAAGTGCCTCCACTAGGTCGGCCTCCACCACGGCGTCACACAGCCCCCGGACGTGGACGACCGGAGATGGAGGGATGCGGTGGCTCTCCTTCACGCCTTCCTGTACATAAAAGCAAAAACAGATTAAGAATCTGGATGGATGGATAAATGGATGGATGGATGGATGCTAGTCCATTTCCACAGAAAAACCTGTGTGAAGAAGGGCTTTATTAGTGCACAGACGTACCCCATTACCCACTGCTGATAAGACCCCGGGCAGAAGAAGGATCCACACACACGCACACACTCACAAACACACACATACATATACACCTCTGCGGTAATTCATAAAGAGATCAAAAGGCGGACTTAGGCAAAGGCAGACAGAGACAATACCCACTCCCCACTGTGAACAGATAAAGTCATCTGTGTGCAGCCGGTCCACACACACAGATAACGTAGATGCACTCACTTATAGGAAATCCTGCGTCTTTCAGGGCAGGTTTGTATCACTGAAGCTCACTGTAAGCGCACAAAAGTGCGTTTTTGCAGCTTTGCTGGTCGAATGAGCTTAAAAAAAAAACAGCAAATGGGCGGAAAAGCAAAAGAATGATCTGCCGAAAAACAAAAGTTTGGAGTGAAGTGGATTTAAAGAAAGGTTTCTGGTGAGGTTTCCTTAAGTAGTGCCACCAACATTTGCACCAACACAAAAACAGCTCAGCGTTTTTTGGCTTTTATATGTCTGCGTTCCATTTACAAAAACATTTTCCATCTAAAAGTTTGAAATAGATGCAAGTCCTGTGATTTGTGACTGTTAAAAGACTCCAGCAACTTTTTTGATTCCACTCACTTTTCACTTTTTGAAATATGAGAGACGTAAAAAAAAAAAAAAAAAAAAAAAACTATCTTGAATTCTGGGATAAAGTTCTGACTTGTATGTTACATTTAGCCTCGTGTAGAGTTTGCATTTCCAACCATAACAGGATATGGTGAGGATGAGAGAGAAGGTGTGCTGAGACCTTCTGACAAAGGTTGCAAATAGATGACGGTTACAATCGGAAAATCTTCTCGCAGTGACAGACGAGACGTTGAGCAAGCCTTACGGTTGTGCAGCCTGGCCTTTGTTTTTGCAGCAGGCTGCAAACTCAGCCGCTTTACATCAGCGCGTGCAGGAAATAAGCTCTTTTTATGTCTCCGGGTGCAAGCTGCCCACCAGCTAACCTGAGGACACCGTCATTTCTGAGCTTTAATTCTGTAAAAAGATTTATATGTATAATGTGTTCATTGATTTCATTGACTCTGATCTATGCTTGAATTGATTTTCTTTTTTTAAACAACTTTTTAATGTTATTTGTGGTTCACATTGTTATCTAGATTACTGACTTTAACTTTTACCTTTATTAAAATATGTTTTATTAGAATCTGATAAGAATTTCTCAACTGATTCTGTGGTCTTTACTCACATATGAGAATCTAGCTGCTAAGAAACCTTGAAAAAATAAGAACCTCTGTCTGAGGAAAGCAGGATTCACCGATGGGAACTTGCATTCCCTCTTAAGTAGTTTATCGTCTACGATGGCACTTTCAAAAGAGAGCAGGGCAAGACCACGTCTATGACATCCGTTTAGTCATAGTGTGCGGTGAGCATGGTGAAGAGCCGGACCCCTGCGCAGACGTGGACGATGGCAGGAAGCGATGCGATGAACTCAAGATAGATGTAAGCACAGAACTGAACTGAAAGTGTGGCCGAGCCACAACCCCAAAAAACTAAACAAAAAACCTACAGAGAAAGGCAAAACACACTACGGACAATTTAAAAGAGCTAGATTACAGAGAGAATGAATGAGAGGAAGAAATGGTGTTGACGACTATGAAGACCTGACAATGACTGAGAAAAAAAACTGAAAGCATAAATGATGAGGAGGTGAATTATGGAGAACTGTGGGAGCAACATAGGAACAAAAACAATTAAAAAAAACACACAAAAAAGATGGTAGGAGCAGAAAAACGACCGATTAGGATAAGCTCCAAAGGCCTCTAACACAAAATACACACACAAAAAAGAAACTGTATTAAACCAAACAAATTAAAACACAATCCAAAATAAACTAAAATCCCAGAACCCATGACACTGTTAAAGACATCTGATCACATCTGAAAGAATGGGTCCTGTAGCTGTTTCTCAGAGGCACTTATGTTGTTACCGGGCTGGTTTTCTCACTACTTCATCATCAAAGCTGCCACCGCAATCATGGTATACCCAGAATTTCATATTACTCATGTAATTGACAGGAGACGTGGTTTGGGGTTCCTCCTCCTTTCTCTCTGTTTGTTTCCCGCTCAACCTAAAGGCATTGATTGAGCTTCAGGATGTTAAATAATAACATCACAGATGCCATGAACTTTCTAGATAGCATGACAACAGAGTATAACAGAATAAATAACAAAAGATTAACACAATTATATGCAGAAACCATCAAAAATAGTTGGTCAAAATAGTTTAAAACTGCAAAAATAATAATTTAAAATAATTAAAAAAAATAAATAAAAAAAATAAAAAATAAAAAAATAAAAATAAAAATAAAAAATAATAAAAGTGCAAAAAAAGATGTTTTCACTTAAAAAAAAAGAAAAGAAATTTTTGTTTAAAAAAAAAAATCGGACACAGATGTTCAATTAAGTCCAGAATTGCTGTGATTGAGAAGCTGTGGTCACTTCTGGGGTCACTCTGTACAATGGGGCCTTTTAGTTTGAAGTGATGGACTCAGTTGGCGGAGAGTGTCATCTTCAGAGAGAAAAAAACAAAACAAAAAAAGAACAAGTTGCCAGAAATGAATCTTTCCGGACTGTGCTTTTTTATCCATGAGAGCACACTGGAACACACACACACACACACACACACTCACACGTGGGCCTTGGTTACCATAGCTACAAGTGGTGGACAGTTGGTTGGAGCACAAGCTGTGCTGATGAGGAAGGGAAGATGTTACCGACGTCCCATTTTGTGTGATGGAGCGTTGGAATGTAGTTACTATGGTTACCCCAATATTGGCGATTGGCGTTTGGAGTCGACGTTTCCTCCTCCTGCCCGGGACGGCAGAGGAGGTGGGACCCACGTTGGCCCTGTCGCCGTGGAAACCAAACGGCAGCTATGTCTTTTTTCTTTTTTTCTTTTTTTTTTGGGAACCTGCATGTCTTTATTTAGGTCGGGGGTTGGATGGATTACAGCATCCTTCACTCCAGCTCTCTGCATCATCCCAGTGGCCTCGGCCTATCGTTTCTCCTTCCTCATCCTCCTTCTGCGTCATGCCTCCTGATACCTTTCTCTGCTTTAGCTCCTCGTCTTCCGTCCATGAGTGTAAACATTTGCAAGATCAGCACCTCGAGAGTTTAAAAAAAATAAATTAAAAAAAGACGAAGGAGACAGAAGGATCCATTATTTATAAAGCGGATCACCACACAGGAATTGGTGATAACGCGTGTGTCCGAGCTCTCCTTAAAAAAGCGGGAGCTTGTCTTTGCATTTTACTGTCTGGGTGCTGAATCAGCATCCACATGATCGTGTTCCCGTTTTTTTTCTCTTTTGAGAAAGCGTTTACGCCATCCCACTTCTCCTTCTTTTTGTTACTCTTCTTCCATACTTTTTTGAAAGCTCAGTACTTTTGCAAACTTTCAGTACACACACATATATATATATATTAATATTATATATAATAATATGTTATAATCATATATTATTATTCAAGATATTTAGAAATGTGTCTTGAACTAATCCCATTTTACATTTGCAGTTATTTTTTCTGGCTATTTTTTTTTTTATACCATTGACCTCTCTAAAGCCTAAACTTTAGCATCAGATTTGATCCATTTTTACCAAGTTTTCTTCTTCTCGAACTGCTTGAGCGCTTTAATTCAGCCTCAATTTCTTCCACAAACTTCTTTCAAATGACAGTGACTAGGAATAAAACTCAGTAACACAGCTTTGAGTGAATTCGTTAGCTGTTTCTCAGGAACCAGCTTTTTCCCAGCTTTTTAAAAGGCAAATGTTTTCTTACTGTCTCGCTTGTCACTAACACAACTCACTGCTCTTTATAGTATAGAATCAGTTTAAGGACAGTGCAGGGTCAGCTTTACACAAATTATTGATGTGGCTATTTTTCGCGGTGAGTCTTTAGGAATAGATGAGTCTCTCAGAATAGTTTGCATACGTACGGAGGCAGGCAAGATACATATAAATGTCTGATGCTCAGTATGAACAATGTCTCCATATCAGATAAGATCATTGGAGACTGGAACAGCTTAACATTTCTGCTGCTTTGACTAGATGTTCATATCTTAAGTATAGCTACAAAGGGATCATCTTGATGATTCGATGATGGTTAGCCATTTTCACACTGGAAACGTGGAAACTATTTAGCTTGTTTGTATGAAAATGAATGTTAGAGTCCATATTTGGGGGGAAATGTACAGCAAACTCATCTTTAACAGATGATACTGCATTTATTGGATTTTAGGAAAGAGAATGCATTACGTTTAGCCTTAATTTGAGATTAGCCGGACAGTTTTGCATCATCAGATAAAGACAAAGTTTGATGCAAATAAACTCAGTAAGCATTGAAGCATGGTATATTTAAATGACGGACTATATCTAGCACATGGACAGACAGAGCAATCCCACTCTCACAGAAATCCGTTCTCAGACTACCACATGGAAAAGCATTTATTTATTTCTAAAGTGCCCAAATTGACCTCACCTTTAGTTTGGTAACGTTAGTAATAAACCCCGCTGCAGGTTCAATAACTTAAGCATTTATAGTTCTACGTTTAGTCTCACTTTTGTGCAAATTCCAAGCTTTTTATGCTGCTTTGATAACGAAAGGAACTTTAGATTCATCAGATTGCATCATAGACAAATCTAATGAAAGATCTACAGATCTACAGATGCCTAAAGATAGGCAGAATGGCTCCTCATTCTTTAGCACACGAGCTAAAAAAAGAACTGATAAAGGACGAGCATTTCATTAGAATTAAGGAACTCTCGCCAGCAATGACTTGTAAATGACTTGATCGCAAAGGAAATAACTTTTCTCTTCTCTTTTCTGAAGTACAACTAAATTAGGATGATGATTAGTTGCCGGATGAAAAAGTTACGAGTGATTCTATGAATAATCTTTACCACAGACACAGTAAGTTACATCACCCAGCCTCCTGCAGAAGTTCTCTGACAACTCTGTCTCCTCCAAGATGGGAACGGAAGGTCAGAAGAAGAACTGATTTGGGAATAATCCATCTAAATAATCAAATCAAAATAGGTCAGCTCAGACCAGCTCTGCCCTGAAGCCCCCTTAAACACATGAAGGTAACAGGGGAAAAAAGTAAAACAGCTCAGGTACAATTCCAGAGTGAGAGGGCATCTTTGACTGACTGCACCTTGTTAAGCCATGGCTAAAAAATCTGTGTTCCTTTAGGATTCAGAAATCAGGTCAACAAGTTAGTTGGACTCCACGTGTTGAATTTGTTCAGAAATGGAAAAAATAAATAAATCGAAGGTGTTTTATTCACTTCCTATTGTCGCGTAAAGTTATTACCAGCTGTTGTTAAGGACTTGTTATGTTAAGTTTATGTTAGGACTGACTGATTCTATTCCCCTGTGGTTGATTCCTTTAAGACAAGACCTGACTTGCGTTGGGATTTCCTTTTGTAGACACTCAAATTAAAAGAAGACAATATGGGGATGTAGAGAAGTATTCCATCTAATGGGACGTTTAGTGAATGCTTCAGATTTGGGTCTGTTTCACCACTTTTCTGATCATCTACTTGAACTGTCGTCTCTTTTATTTCTCCAAAAAAGGTTGGATTGTTGCAAACTCTAAAGCCAAATGCACTTGAACGCACCACCATAAGGGTCATAGTCAACGCACCCCAGCTGGTGTTTGATTCCCTGCTTACAAGTTCACTTTTTTTTTAATCTTCTGTCACTTCTTGCTCTTTAGTTAGCTGTTTTATTCTGTTTTTCTTCTTCCAGCGTCCCACCAAGTGCTCGGTTTCTGACTGCCCAACCTACCTATCGCAGCTTTTGGGATACGTTATCCAACGTGGACAGAATAAGGCCGATCACTGGGAGGTTCAAGCACCAGCAAACTCTAAGAATCCTACAGATTTCTGGGCTTTGCTCAATTTGAAAGTCCTTTTCCTGAACACTAAAGTGGGATTGCTATCCCCCTAAGGAAGCAAAAGAAACATTTTCAAGAACTGAAGAATAGTTTCGTAATGGCTTCCATTATACCTCAACAAGACCAAGTAAAACACTCTCATCTTTGCAAAAAAGCAAAATGTTGAAAGTCATGAGTTGCTGCCTGTTAAGTAAAGTGTGTGGATGAGGAATGGGGATAGTTTAGCACCTGGACGGACCTTAAAAACCTTCAAGAGTGTCTAAATTCCCATCGAGCCCCTTCCTCAGCTTCCCTCACTTTGGAAAAAAAGTGAAAGCATTTTTACGTCTCAAACCGTTCGAACGTCTTCATCAGACCTTAATCTGCCGTGCCTTCAAAGAGACCTACTTGCAGTGCTGGGTTCTCACAGAGAGCAGCACACCGAAACCACTTAAAACTTAAAAATAGTATATGTATCATCATCTGAAAAAATGTCCACCAGTCAGGGTCCTCGGCAGCCCGCACAGGAACAATTTTTTGCGAACAATTTACCTTTTGAGATTATAACACAAAAAGAAAATCAGCACTGCCCTTCAGGTTAGCGGGTTTTTAAATTTTTCTTATTGTAGTCTAGATTTTTTTAACCACAATTTCCAGCATTGAGGAGCTTGACTGTCTCAGGTCCGGTCAACGAAATACATAAGGAAATAAGCTAAGAGGCCCAGAAAAAATAGGTTGAAAAACATATCTATGTGGGAAATGGACCATAAGGGGGGTTATAAAAAAAAGGCAGAAGGGGGAACAAGAGTTGTGTGATGGAGGGGCTGAAGAACAAATGATAACTGATGTGGGGGTCCAGGCCCCAGCCTCCAGTCCCTCCTCGGAATAAACAGAGATAAAAAAACCGGATGGATGGATGAAATATTCCACCCATTCGTTTTCCTATACCAGCTTAATCCAGTTTGGGGGGGGGGGGGAGGGTATTGCCTGGATGGGTGGCAGGTCCATCACAGTCACAGGACATAAGACAAACTCCTGTTATTGATTCTTATAAGCTCTCCACAGCTCTTCCATTTGACCTTTTTCAACACTCTTTGCTTCTTGGTTTATTTCCATTTTGGTCTGGCGTTCGGCCTTTTTTGGGGTGAGCTCTGCTCGTGGCTTTTACCGTGGAAGATCGGGTCCGATGATGGAGGCAGGCAGATGGCCTCGCTTCCTGCCGGGTGGCAGGCGCTTCCTGTCGGGGCCCGGCCTGACTGAAAGCACGCTGAATCTCGCTCTCCCCCAAAAAAACAAAACACCCAACTAAACGATTCAACTATCCCTTCCAGATTTGACGCGTTACATTCAACGTGTTACACTCAAACTGATCTCAATTTAAAATGCCACGCAAAGGCCCGTGTTTTAGCAAATGAAACCAACTCTGTACTCTGGTTTTTTTTGCAGCAGTTTGCAGTCGGCACTTCAAATCACAGGTGCAGCACTAAGCCCTCCTGTCAGCAGAAGGGAAAAGGCCGGCCTCCATCATTCGGTCTGTGCCGTTCGGCCCTTTGCCATTAAGCCGTAATTGCAGTATTCATGTGGAAGGGGGCTCTTTTTTTTCCTTCCTTCTCTGCTTTTGGAAACAAATGGCCGAAAATGAAATCGTTCGCCCAGATCAGGTGGATCAGATTTGGTCATCTGGCTTGGAAACTCTCCTTTTAACAGAGAGAGAGAGAGTACCGATTCTGGTCACTGGTGAAGACTTTATATGGACGACTAGCAAAAATCAGATAACCAGATATGATACAGACATTATTTTTGGAACTGGGGATGATGTAAGTCACAACCACTGCTGTGTATGATCGCCGTCAGACTGGACATCAGGGTCTCTTTGGGGATTCAGACCACATGTAAACAGAGTCTGTGGAGCCTGACGGAGAGCCAGAGGGTCCAAAAGAGGCAGCTGTTAGATTTAAGGGGCTTTTAAGTCGTTTTATTTGCGCAATTAAACACAAACTAAAAAAGAAGGAGGAAAAAAAAACTCTAAATTAAATCTTTAATCGCCCTTTTTCCACTGTCTGAGATTCAGCCCTGTGTGAGAGCATTTTAGAACCAGAACAGGATTCTGACACGATAATGAGCCTTAACTCTGACAACAGAAAAAACTCTCAACCTTCAGGCCCTGGCTGCAGATGTGGGAGAATATTAACAAAAATAGAAAGATTTGAAAAAAAAAAAACAGTGATCTGACATCTTTATGGTGGGTGATTCCATCCTTTTTTTTTAGACACATGAGGGCTGTCAACAGGGAGGAAAATGAGTGATGAACGTGGCCGATGGGGAACCTTTTTTTTTTTAAATGAAGGGGGGATTTGAACACTTCTGGCCAGGGGATGCTCTAAATGGAACAGATCTGGACCCATTTTCATCAGATTAACGTCGTGGCTCACCTTCCCCGCGCTCCTCCGGTTCCTGCCCTCGGTGCGTCCGCTCCCCGCCGCCTCCTCACTGGCCGAGTCCTCCTCCTCCTCCTCCTCCTCCTCCTCATCCTCATCCTCCTCTCCGTCCTCCAGCTCCCTCACGCCGCTCTTCTCCTCCGTCCGCAGCCGTTTGGCCGCCCGGTGGTATCCTCCTCCTCCTCCTCCTCCTCCTCCTTCTTCATCCTTGTCCTCCATCACGGGCGAAATGCAAAAATTGGAGATTTTTCGATTAAAACGAGGAAGAGACGATGACACCTGCTAGACCCGTCTCTCTCTCTCTCTATCTCTCTCTGTCTCTCTCTCTCTTTCTATCGCTCTCTCTCTCTCTCTATGCAGACTGTGGTTGTTTTTCTACGAAGCTGCTAAAAATAGAAGGACTTCTCACTCCGTCCATTTTTATGAGTCTTTTACTTTTAGGTTTCGGCCACAGCCTGGTGCCAAAATTAAGAACAATCAAACTCCTGTTACTGACTTCAGGGGAAGCTGAGTGAAATTATATTTATCAAATGATGTATACATGCATGTAACACATCTGCAAAGTCCCCCCCCCACACACACACACACATACGCACACAAAAAAACATGATCAAATGATGGAAAACCAGCTAAAGTTTGTGCTGAACCTGCACTTGAACAAAAAAATCAGAAACTTTGATGGCTCAGAAAATGGAAAATCTGAGAGAAATATATATAATTATACATATCACTGCTTTAGATTGTATAACTGTGGCTGAAACATGGCAGTGAGATAAACTTACCAGTGGGCAAAGGTTCTGGGTTCGAGTTCTCGGGGGAACCAGGACCTTTCTGTGTGGACTTGTTGGGTTCTCTCTGGGTTCTTCCTCCCACTGTCCCAAAACCTGCATGTGAGGTCGATTGGACATTCCAAATGGCCCTTAGGAGTGAGTGTGACTGGTTGTGTGTCTCTGTGTAGCCCTGCGATGGACTGGTGGATCTTCCAGGGTGTACCCTGACCATTGACTACTGGGATAGCGACCCTGTTAGCGTATAAGCGGTTAGGATAATGGATGGATGGATTGAATATAAAGATCTGGGAGTGTTATTGGATTGTCTCCTAGCTGAGCCAGCACAAAGCTTAAATCAACCCAGACTCTTTTCATGTGTGGTCCAGGATGGTGGTCAGAAGACTATGAGCGGGTCGTCTTGACCCGTACTCTGCTACCTCTGCTGCTCAGCGTGTACTTCCCTCTGTCTCTACACCGGGGCTGTCGGACTCCAGGCCTCCAGGATTTTCGGTCCCAACATACCTGACTCACGTCAGTGTGCCATGAGCCAAGCCTGAGAAAAGCCGAGTGTCCAGAGGAGGTCCATCGTAATCCGAACCAGGTGTGCAAAAGCAGAAAAAAAAGTCAGAAACGTGTGGGACACGAGGGCCCGAATTTGACACTCCCACTCTAACAGAGACTGATTGTTAGCTCTGATGCTAACTATGATGTTGCTTCCACCAAAGGTTGCCTTTTTTTCTAAATTGGATGCCATTCAATTGAACATTTTCCTTAAAAAAGAACCTTTCGTCATCATGTAAACGACTCTCTGAGAATTCCCACGTTCTGCCACCACCTGGAACAAAGAGAACATTCAAGAGATGACCACAGAACTTCTCCTGAATGTGCTGGACGGCTGCTAGCTCTGAGGGAGCTGGTCACATGAAGTCAGAAGCACGATATAAGCAGGTCTCTCTGGTTTAAAATGCTGTATTTCACCATTCTGTTGCCATGAATCTTCTAATTAGATGGAGCGCGTATGGAAAAAGGATGGATGGATGTGTATCGTTGGGTTTTTTTTCCAGCTTAGCTACCTTGGCTACCTTGGCCAGTTCATTTGTGCATAAAAACAACTAACAGAGTTTCTATTTCCTGGTTAAAAAAACACAAAAGAGCTGTTAAAAACAGTAAGAACTGAATGAGAGTTGTTCCCGATGCTGTATTTGGGGCAGTCAGTTATTTCTCTCCAGGTGTTTCCTCTGCATGGAGGTCAGGTCACCGGAGTGTCGACACACCTGTCAGACTCCACACCAGCATCACAACAGTTGCGCCAATTTCAAACCAACTCAGGAAATGCTCTTGAGAATGTTTTTTTCTTTCGATTCGTGAATACGAAACTGTGACGATTTCATAACCGTGCACACAGCCCAGGTATCAGTCCTTGAAGTCAAAATAGGGTTGCGTAACACGGTGTTCAGTCAGATTTTAACTGGTTTACTTTGTATTTTTATCTCTTCTAAATTCTCATATTTGATTTTTAAAGCACATGAGACCAGCTTTTTACTCTTACCAAGTCATACAAATCCTGTGTCATGAAGAAGCTGTTTAGATAGAGGCTGGGCTTTAGGTAGAAGGCATTGTAAGTAGCATTCATGGTTCTTCCGTAAAAAAATGTTTGCCTAAGCTTTACACTTCTTACCACCAGTGTCCAGTTTCACTGCACACAATGGCTGTTTTGGCTATCACTGAAGCAGCCGATTTGACCACATCATGGTCCAGTAGCCATAGTCCACTTTGTTAAAAACAACTAAAAACTGGAGATGTGACTGGAGATGGATAGATGTGAGTGGCACAGAAACCGGCTTCGGGCCTCAGGGTGCGTATTTTGTGACACCATCACAGCTGCAGACGTTTATGGTTTTCTTAACAAAGTGACACATCTTTTCAAATAAACCACCTTTGGGTTCACTGACACATCCTCCCACTCTCTCCTTCAAGTCTCCTATAGAGCGATGTAAAGTCCCACCCCAGAACTGATTTGACCAAAACCTACAACGAATTAACTACAATATTGTCTAATCATTTCGTACATCTTACCTCCTCTCCCCGATTATTGGATGATAACACATTTATTTTATTTTTTTCCTGTATGACAAACGCACCACATCCTGACCCAACGCAAAAGCAGTATCTCAACACACGATGAAACCACACACACACAAAAAAAACGTGAAATCTGTGTCGCAGAAAAACGACACGAGATGATGAAACTGCTCAGAGATGAAAAAGTGGGGGACAGCTGAGGATGCGAAGGCGCACCGACGGTCAGACACCACCAGGTGGCGACACTGGCCTGCTTTCTTTTTTTTCTTTTTTTTTGCTCAGAGTGCCCTTACAGGTCAGATTAAACATGGAAAAAATAAAAAAATAAATAAATAATAAATAAAAAAATGAAAAAATAAATAAATAAATAAATAGATAAATAAATAAATAAATAAATAAATAAATAAATAAATAAATAAATAAATAAATAAATAAATAAATAAATAAATAAATAAAATAAAACGCCAGGGGGATGACACACATGGTGAGAAGACAAGCAAACAAAGTAACAGAATTTAACCAGAGATATTTTGGTGCACCACATCTGTGAGTAGACCAGGGAAAGAAGCCAAAGAAACCAAAATACAATGCTTTAGATCAACTCCTAATTGGGTTGGTTGTAGAGTTCCTGGTGCCTATGGGGGCTTTTTTTCAGCGTAATATGTCAGAACAAAAATAAAACTGATCTCATTATATGTAAAAAGACGAAAACTGTATTAATAGCTGAGATCATGGAATCCAAACATCCTCTTCACAGAGCTACAAGTAACAAAATGAACACACAATAATTATAAATAAAAGTAATTATAAGTAAAAGTATAGGAGAAGAATCTCCCATAGAGTAAAACTCATTCAAGTACATTCAAACATAGTTTGAATTACATTATCTGATGTTTTATACATATCCTCGAAAGAACGGAAGGTTTTGAGACGGCTGATGGCAAAAAAAAAAGTAAAGAGGATGTCTCTAACTTAGTACGCACATCTAAATAAAGATCAGTTATCGAGTAACTCTGTTACTTTTCTTAATTTACATTTGATATGTTCCTAATATTACAGCCAATGATTAATTATCCTCGTGTGATGTAATACAGCAAAGGAGGAAAAAATCTTATATGACTTATTCAAGTTTGTTTAAAGTTTGTGACCAAAATCATGAGATTCTCCCCCATCGACAAAGATGGAAGTTTTTTTTTTCTTTTTTTTTTTTTTAGAGAAATTGATTAGATACAGATGATCACTGTCATTGTTTATGATTTCTGGCTTGTTTCTTCCATTTTCACCAGACACGCTGTGCTATTTCCCCCTTTTTTAAAAGTCTTTTGTTACAACTGAAGGAAGACTTGGAGTTTAAGTAGAGGCCTTTAAATCTGAAGGGTTCCACTGATCCACAACTTCCTCAGTTTACATATAAAGTACCTTGTTGAGTGTTTTAACTTTGAAATTAGGCATCATACTGCTTCATTTCAGAAACTTTCGTTGTTTTTTTTCCATTGTGCTATTCCTTGAAACTCTTGTCTCCCACTTGGTCTCTACTACTGTCTCCTATTTGTGGAATTTTCTTTTTATAAAATGCTCTCCATCTTTTTAAAAAACTCTTAACTATCTTTCAACCTTAAATCCTTGATAATGATGCTGTTTCCTGGAGGGAAAGACACTGATTTACATTCTGAGAGTAAAGTTCATTTTGTGTTTATTAATTAAGCTTAAGCGATTCTTAAGAATGATTGTTAATTTCTTGCAAACCTTTGGGTGATGGAGGAGGTTGAGGCTCTAAATAGCATCCCTCTTGGTGCCCTCTGTAGGGAGGTTATTTGGGAGTATCGCTGAGGGAAGGCCTTTCCCACACTTCTTGATTTTCATGATGTACCAAGTGTGAGACCGGAGAAATTAGTAATCCCTCCGATGGTGGGATGGAGAATGCTGGAATCGGATGACTGTCTTATCTAAATCGTTATGAGTCATGGATTTTTGGCTTGTCTTCTGTTATTTGTCCCAAGTTTTGACTTTTCCCCATTTGTTTAGGTCATTTTCTGCCATCTGAATTGTGTTTTTGCATTGTGAGTTTTATGGCGTTAGATTCTTTGTGAGTCCTTCCTTTCCTTTTACGTTCTCTGTTCCCTGCCCTTTTAATCCAGTCTCTTCCCAGTTCCTCTTTGTTGCCAGCTTTTTCTGTGCCACAGTTCAAGTTCAGATATTCCTGCCTTCACGTCTCACTCTCCTCTCTAAATAAGCTCTCTGCTTCGTTCATTCCTTGTTAATCGTTTCATGCCCCATGCTTTCGGTTTCTCAAAACTTTGGTCTTGAGTGTTTGTTTTCCGTCTGTGTAGTTGTTTTTCCTTCGTGGATCCCTTCCTCTCGAGTCCC